TGTGGTAGTGGTTATACTGACTGGTGTGGGTGGTGAGGTACTGACTGGTGTGGGTGGTGAGTTATTGACTGGTGTGGGTGTGAGGTATTGACTGGTGTGGTGTGAGGTTGACTGGTGTGGTGTGAGTATGACTGGTGGGTGGTGAGATATTGACTGGTGTGGGTGGTGAGGTATTGACTGGTGTGGGTGGTGAGATATTGACTGGTGTGGGTGGTGAGGTATGACTGGTGTGGGTGGTGAGTATATGACTGGTGTGGGTGGTGAGGTACTGACTGGTGTGGGTGGTGAGGTACTGACTGGTGTGGGTGGTGAGGTACTGACTGGTGTGGGTGGTGAGGTATTGACTGGTGTGGGTGGTGAGGTATGACTGGTGTGGTGGTAGTATGTGTGGTGTGAGTACTGACTGGTGTGGGTGGTGAGGTATGACTGGTGTGGTGGTGAGTACTACTGGTGTGGGTGGTGAGGTACTACTGGTGTGGGTGGTGAGGTACTGACTGGTGTGGGTGGTGAGGTACTAGACTGGTGTGGGTGGTGAGGTACTGACTGGTGTGGGTGGTGAGGTACTAACTGGTGTGGGTGGTGAGGTACTAACTGGTGTGGGTGGTGAGGTACTGACTGGTGTGGGTGGTGAGGTACTACTGGTGTGGGTGGTGAGGTACTGACTGGTGTGGGTGGTGAGGTACTGACTGGTGTGGGTGGTGAGGTACTAACTGGTGTGGGTGGTGAGGTACTAACTGGTGTGGGTGGTGAGGTACTGACTGGTGTGGGTGGTGAGGTACTAACTGGTGTGGGTGGTGAGGTACTGACTGGTGTGGGTGGTGAGGTACTGACTGGTGTGGGTGGTGAGGTACTAACTGGTGTGGGTGGTGAGGTACTAACTGGTGTGGGTGGTGAGGTACTGACTGGTGTGGGTGGTGAGGTACTAACTGGTGTGGGTGGTGAGGTACTGACTGGTGTGGGTGGTGAGGTACTGACTGGTGTGGGTGGTGAGGTACTAACTGGTGTGGGTGGTGAGGTACTGACTGGTGTGGGTGGTGAGGTACTGACTGGTGTGGGTGGTGAGGTACTAACTGGTGTGGGTGGTGAGGTACTGAACTGGTGTGGGTGGTGAGGTACTGACTGGTGTGGGTGGTGAGGTACTAACTGGTGTGGGTGGTGAGGTACTGACTGGTGTGGGTGGTGAGGTACTGAACTGGTGTGGGTGGTGAGGTACTAACTGGTGTGGGTGGTGAGTACTAACTGGTGTGGGTGGTGAGGTACTAACTGGTGTGGGTGGTGAGGTACTAACTGGTGTGGGTGGTGAGGTACTAACTGGTGTGGGTGGTGTAGGTACTAACTGGTGTGGGTGGTGAGGTACTGACTGGTGTGGGTGGTGAGGTACTAACTGGTGTGGGTGGTGAGGTACTGACTGGTGTGGGTGGTGAGGTACTAACTGGTGTGGGTGGTGAGGTACTGACTGGTGTGGGTGGTGAGGTACTGAACTGGTGTGGGTGGTGAGGTACTAACTGGTGTGGGTGGTGAGGTACTAACTGGTGTGGGTGGTAGGGTACTGAACTGGTGTGGGTGGTGAGGTACTAACTGGTGTGGGTGGTGAGGTACTGACTGGTGTGGGTGGTGAGGTACTGACTGGTGTGGGTGGTGAGGTACTAACTGGTGTGGGTGGTGAGGTACTGACTGGTGTGGGTGGTGAGGTACTGACTGGTGTGGGTGGTGAGGTACTAACTGGTGTGGGTGGTGAGGTACTAACTGGTGTGGGTGGTGAGGTACTAACTGGTGTGGGTGGTGAGGTACTAACTGGTGTGGGTGGTGAGGTACTAACTGGTGTGGGTGGTGAGGTACTGACTGTGTGGGTGGTGAGGTACTAACTGGTGTGGGTGGTGAGGTAACTAACTGGTGTGGGTGGTGAGGTACTAACTGGTGTGGGTGTTGAGGTACTAACTGGTGTGGGTGGTGAGGTACTAACTAGTGTGGGTGGTGAGGTACTAACTGGTGTGGGTGGTGAGGTACTAACTGGTGTGGGTGGTGAGGTACTAACTGGTGTGGGTGGTGAGGTACTAACTGGTGTGGGTGGTGATGGTACTAACTGGTGTGGGTGGTGAGGTACTAACTGGTGTGGGTGGTGAGGTACTAACTAGTGTGGGTGGTGAGGTACTAACTGTGTGGGTGGTGAGGTACTAACTGGTGTGGGTGGTGAGGTACTAACTGGTGTGGGTGGTGAGGTACTAACTGGTGTGGGTGGTGAGGTACTAACTAGTGTGGGTGGTGATACTAGGGAGTGATAAGCCTCACAATCACTTCAGTGATTCTTACTTTATCTGTCTCTGAATACCAACAACAAATTCTGAATAGAGCGATTATATTTTAATATTTGTCCTCACAGAGTATGGCAAACTCCGGGTTTCCCATACGCCGGTTTAACTCTTAAACCTCTCTAAGTTTAAGAGTTAAACCAGCGAGGGAAATTCAGTGCTAGAAGAAGTGATAGAAACTTGATCCTTCGTTCGCTAATCGCAGGCCGGTCTCAGACCAACCAAGCTACCGGCGTTTCTCGGGAAAGTAGCAAATTGTTCGAGGAGCGCTGGGGAACATCGAAGCAGCGAGCTGGCATCTGCACTAACGTAACGAGTTATCCTAATATCTTCTGACAAGATAATTTTTGACAGAGAAGAGTTTCAGCATCGTGGTCATCGACGAGCGGAGGATAGTGCCCCCATAACTCCTTCCAAATGACCCGCATGCGATTACTGCTTAATGTAAATATAATATTTCATTTGCAATATATATATATATATATATATATATATATATATATATATATATATATATATATATATATATATATATATATATATATATATATATATATATGTATGTATATGTCGTGCGAATATGTAAAACTGGTCAATTAGCAAGAACTCATTTAATATTAAGTCCTTTCTAAAATTTTCTCTTATACGTTTAAAGATATATTTTTTTCATTAATGGTAATGTAAATTTTTTTAATTTTGCACCAAAAGAATCTTAGAAAACTTACCTAACCTTATTATATCAAGAACAATTTATTTTAGCCTAACCCAACTAAATATATTTTAGATTTGTTTACAATAATTTAATACTAAACAAACAGTGAAATATATTTTTTTCGTTAAGTTAAGAATGATTTTGGCGAAATTATTGCATACACAAATTTTCACTTGTCCTATATGGCAAGATGAGCGTTGCTATTTAAGCCAAGATCGCAAGTTCTGCCTATTCGGCACGACATATATATATATATATATATATATATATATATATATATATATATATATATATATATATATATATATATATATATATATATAAAATGTTGGTTAATGAGCGGAGACTCAGTAGTTAAGTAAGAGCTACCAGCAGTAAGATAACAGGAGTTACCAGTGCTAGAAGATAAGCAACTTAAACTTACCACTTCCTAGGTAAGAGCAAATCACATTCAATCTTCTAGCTGTATGACCCCTAAGGATTTATCACTTTCACATGACTCTAATAAAAATAATAATAATAATAATAATAATAATAATAATAATAATAATAATAAAATGCAATACTTAATAATGTATTAGTTACCTTGTTTGACTAGTTACTGTGTAATATAGTAAGACATCAGTAGAAAGACGGGTTTGAAGACATAATATGCAGAGCCAGTTCTTAATGAGACGACGTTTGATTCAGGGTAGACCTCTATCAAGTTGTTACTTGATAGAGCTCTAATTAGGTTTATTTGGTTTAAAGTCTCTCGAGTACACGCGGGTCATTAACTCCGCGTGTCGCCTGTACACCACCAGTCAGAGATACTTTAACTCCAACACAAGAATTATTAACGTGAACTACATACCTACTTGAGATATATACCTCATTTAAGTGAATATACACTGCTTATCACAGTGCAAATGAAACTAAATATATATACCTGACGATATATTCAAATTCACCAAAAACCCACAATTCAGAGAAGAACCTCGTGAGAACGTTCAGGTCCGTCCTGGACCACTCTTGCCATGAGGTTCCTCTCCTAAATGTGGGTTCTCTTGGTGAATTGTTCCAGCCAAGGTACTGTGAATTTTCCTTCTTTATATACAAAGTTGATTATGCTTTGCCATGGGAGAAGCTTATCTTCAATACAAGCTTGTTCTGTACATAACGTATTCATGATACTTATGTATACGAGGAGCCAGTGTCGACGACGGTCCGGGGTTCAGCGTCCAGTGGCAGAGATGGTACATGTAGTTGACATACCTTGATGTTGCTCCCACACACTGGCTTACAGCCCCGTCCACGGGAGCTTTCAACCCCTACACGCGGGAGCTTTCAATCCCTTCATGGGATTTATAACCTTCACACGAGGGGCTTTCAATCCTTACAGAAAGTCTTCTAGTTCTTGCATGGAGGTTTACTTCCCTTATAATACCGTTGCTTGCGGCCTCTACAAGAGGCCATTCACCCTTCCTACATGGGGGTTACAGCCCCATATACGGGAGTTGGCCAGTCACTGACCCAACCCCCTGACCACATTTCATCGCAAATTTATGCCACGCTGTAACAATGAGTTTATACACTTGTACTATTCCTGGTCACCATCAGCGCTGAAGGTGAACATAAACACTTCAGTGACCAGCAAACAATAGTTCCACTCAGTGCTGGAATTAATCGATAACAGTTTTGTTCAGGTTTCGCCACGATAACACAAGTTAGTTTAATATAATGATGTCGTTGAAATGGATATGATAGGTGGGTGTTTAGCCGTGAGTTTCAAGTGACGGTCGCCACGAGCACAGTGTTCCACTTTCTGTTAACTTCTGGGTATTTAAAAAAAAAGTGGCAATCTTCCCGACACTCAACTTACCCAAATAATTGATCTCCACCTGAGTATTAAAAATCTGCGGTTTTCTCTCTATCCACCTACAAATTATGACTTAAAAAAAATCCTATAATTAAATCGAAGCATAGATATCTATTCATACATTTCTCTTTCGTACAGCTATAATGTAAATTTAGTAAGGTAGGTGGTGATGGGAGCGGACACACACACCCCAACCCACGTCCACACAACAACTAAGGTGGTTCCGTCCTTGCTCGCTACTGGGACACACACGCGTTGCCTGCTGAGGAGAATTATTTTCACTTTTTATTTTCCTACGCTTTCAAGAAAACGCCACATCAGCGTCCCCATCTACCACAGGGTCTACGAGGATAGGAGGGAGGCGCCTACATCTACCAAAATTCAATTTGAGGAATTTGGAGGTACGTACGGTGCTCATGGCTGGCGACAACTGTCAATTCGCTTTACTACAGCGAGTATAGTGTGCGGAATACGTAACAATACTCGCGATTTTTTTACGCTACGGCTTATTTTAACCCAGTTTTTTTGTCCTCTGCTTTCCGTCACGAAGCCAGCGACAACGTACTCACCCCGCCCGGACGCCACTCTCTCTCACCTGCAACTGCAGTACATCCCAGCAGCTGCAACACTGGATGCAGCTGCAATACTGGGTGCAGCTGCAACACTGGATGCTGCTGCCGTCCGACGGACTCCTGTGACACACAAGCTGTTACGACTGTGCTGCCCAGCGCCTCTTGCTCCACTTTAACAACTGTCGAGCGTTCGTGGCTACACTTGTGTACTTTCGAGCGCCTCTCCCTTAACTAGCTCACTGACGAACACCATCCGGTGCACCTGTCCGCTGACGAACACCATCCGGTGCACCTATCCGCTGACGAACACCATCCTGTGCACTTGCCCACTGACGAAAATCACCCAGTGCACTTTCCCACTGACAAAAACCATCCGGTGCACTTGCCCACAGACGAACACCGTCCGGTGCACTTGCCCACTGACGAAAATCACCCGGTGCACTTTCGCACTGACGAACACCATCCGGAGCACTTGCTCATTGATGAACACCATCCGGTGCACTTTCCCACTGACGAACACCATCCGGTACACTTGCCCATTGATGAACATCACCCGGTGCACTTGCCCACTGACGAACACTATCAGATGCACTTGCTCACTGACGAATGCCTTCTTATTCGATCCTTGCCCTGGTTGTTCTTGAGACTGGGATCCTTGCCCTGGGTGTTTCTGAGACTGGGATCCTTGCCCTGGGTGTTTCTGAGACTGGGATCCTTGCCCAGGTTGTTCCTGAAACTGGGATCCTTGCCTGGGTTGTTCCTGAGACTGGGATCCTTGCCCTGGTTCTTCCTGAGACTGGGGTCCTTGCCCTGGGTGTTTCTGAGACTGGGATCCTTGCCCTCGTTGTTCCTGAGACTGGGATCCTTGCCATGGGTGTTTCTGAGGCTGGGATCCTTGCCCTGGTTGTTCCTGAGACTGGAATCTTTGCCCTGGTTGTTCCTGAGACTGGAATCCTTGCCCTGGTTGTTTCTGAGACTGGGATCCTTTCCCTGGTTGTTCCTGAGACTGGGATCCTTGCCCTCGTTGTTCCTGAGACTGGGATCCTTGCCCTAGTTGTTCCTGAGACTGGGATCCTTGCCCTGGTTGTTCCTGAGACTGGGATCCTTGCCCTGGGTGTTTCTGAGACTGGGAGCCTTGTCCTGGGTGTTTCTGAAACTTGGATCCTTGCCCTGGTTGTTCCTGAGACTGGGATCCTTGCCCTGGTTGTTCCTGAGACTAGGATCCTTGCTCTGGTTGATCCTGAGACTGGGATCCTTGCCCTGGGTGTTTCTGAGACTGGGATCCTTGTCCAGGTTGTTCCTGAGACTGGGATAATTGCCTTGGTTGTTCCTGAGACTGGGATCCTTGCCCTGGTTGTTCCTGAGACTGGGGTCCTTGCCCTGGGTGTTTCTGAGACTGGGATCCTTGCCTTGGTTGTTCCTGAGACTGGGATCCTTGCCCTGGGTGTTTCTGAGACTGGGATCCTTGCCCTGGTTGTTCCTGAGACTGGAATCCTTGCCCTGGTTGTTCCTGAGACAGGAACCCTTGCCCTGGTTGTTTCAGAGACTGGGATCCTTGCCCTCGTTGTTCCTGAGACTGGGATCCTTGCCCTCGTTGTTCCTGAGACTGGGACCCTTGCCCTGGTTGTTCCTGAGACTGGGATCCTTGCCCTGGATGTTTCTGAGACTGGGAGCCTTGTCCTGGGTGTTTCTGAGACTTGGATCCTTGCCCTGGTTGTTCCTGAGACTGGGATCCTTGCCCTGGTTGTTCCTGAGACTGGGATCCTTGCCCTGGTTGTTCCTGAGACTGGGATCCTTGCCCTGGGTGTTTCTGAGACTGGGATCCTTGTCCAGGTTGTTCCTGAGACTGGGATCCTTGCCTTGGTTGTTCCTGAGACTGGGATCCTTGCCCTGGTTGTTCCTGAGACTGGAATCCTTGCCCTGGTTGTTCCTGAGACTGGAATCCTTGCCCTGGTTGTTTCTGAGACTGGGATCCTTGCCCTGGTTGTTCCAGAGACTGGGATCCTTGCGTTCGTTGTTCCTGAGACTGGGATCCTTGCCCTGGTTGTTTCTGAGACTGGAATCCTTGCTCTGGTTGTTCCTGAGACTGGGATCATTGCCCTGGGTGTTCCTGAGACTGGGATCCTTTCCCTTGTTGTTTCTGAGACTGGGGTCCTTCCCCTGTTTGTTCCTGAGACTGGGATCCTTGCCCTGGTTGTTTCTGAGACTGGGATCCTTGCCCTGGTTGTTCCTGAGACTGGGATCCTTGCCCTGGTTGTTCCTGAGACTGGGATCCTTGCCCAGGTTGTTCCTGAGACTGGGATCCTTGCCCTGGTTGTTCCTGAGACTGGGATCCTTGCCCTGGTTGTTTCTGAGACTGGGATCCTTGCCCTGGTTGTTCCTGAGACTGGGATCCTTGCCCTGGGTGTTCCTGAGACTGGGATCCTTTCCCTTGTTGTTTCTGAGACTGAGGTCCTTGCCCTGGTTGTTCCTGAGACTGGGATCCTTGCCCTGGTTGTTCCTGAGACTGGGATCCTTGCCCTGGTTGTTCCTGAGACTGGGATCCTTGCCCTGGTTGTTTCTGAGACTGGGATCCTTGCCCTGCTTGTTCCTGTGACTGGGACCCTTGCCCTGGTTGTTTCTGAGACTGGGATCCTTGCCCTGGTTGTTCCTGAGACTGGGATCCTTTCCCTTGTTGTTTCTGAGACTGGGATCCTTGCCCTGGTTGTTCCTGAGACTGGGATCCTTGCCCTGGGTGTTCCTGAGACTGGGATCCTTTCCCTTGTTGTTTCTGAGACTGGGGTCCTTGCCCTGGTTGTACCTGAGACTGGGATCCTTGCCCTGGTTGTTTCTGAGACTGGGATCCTTGCCCTGGGTGTTCCTGAGACTGGGATCCTTGCCCTGGGTGTTCCTGAGACTGGGATCCTTTCCCTTGTTGTTTCTGAGACTGGGGTCCTTGCCCTGGTTGTTCCTGAGACTGGGATCCTTTCCCTTGTTGTTTCTGAGACTGGGGTCCTTGCCCTGGTTGTACCTGAGACTGGGATCCTTGCCCTGGTTGTTTCTGAGACTGGGATCCTTGCCCTGGGTGTTCCTGAGACTGGGATCCTTGCCCTGGGTGTTCCTGAGACTGGGATCCTTGCCCTGGGTGTTCCTGAGACTGGGATCCTTTCCCTTGTTGTTTCTGAGACTGGGGTCCTTGCCCTGGTTGTTCCTGAGACTGGGATCCTTGCCCTGGTTGTTCCTGAGACTGGGATCCTTGCCCTGGTTGTTTCTGAGACTAGGATCCTTGCCCTGGTTGTTCCTGAGACTGGGATCCTTGCCCTGGTTGTTCCTGAGACTGGGATCCTTGCCCTGGTTGTTCCTGAGACTGGGATCCTTGCCCTGGTTGTTTCTGAGACTGGGATCCTTGCCCTGGTTGTTCCTGAGACTGGGATCCTTGCCCTGGTTGTTTCTGAGACTGGGATCCTTGCCTTGGTTGTTCCTGAGACTGGGATCCTTGCCCTGGGTGTTCCTGAGACTGGGATCCTTTCCCTTGTTGTTTCTGAGACTGGGGTCCTTGCCCTGGTTGTTCCTGAGACTGGGATCCTTGCCCTGGTTGTTCCTGAGACTGGGATCCTTGCCCTGGGTGTTCCTGAGACTGGGATCCTTTCCCTTGTTGTTTCTGAGACTGGGGTCCTTGCCCTGGTTGTTCCTGAGACTGGGATCCTTGCCCTGGTTGTTCCTGAGAATGGGATCCTTCCCCTGGTACTTCCTGCGGCGCCACACTGTTTTAACTTGTTTCAGTGTTACCACCCATGGCTTTAACCTTAATTTTTTTCCTTAGGTAACTTGGTAGCTATTATAAATATTATTATTATTATTATTATTATTATTATTATTATTATTATTATTATTATTATTATTATTATTATTATTATTATTATTATTATGATTATTATTATTACAGAAACACTAAATGTGTAGGGGTTTAAAAGCGCATAGAGTAATGGGATGGGTACCAGTTCCTTGGATCAAGAGCATTCTAACAAACATCAAATCACCCAGAAGTGTATTCGTTACTTTGTGATTTTTGCAATAACATATTTTAACCTGCGGCTCAATTTCAAATTTTTTCCAATTGAGGAGCTTCAATTTGAAATTGAAGTTGATGGATAAATCGAAAAAAAAATATTTTATTCTAGATGAAAAAAAATGTAACAGTTTGTGGGTAGAATTGTGATAATATGAGCCATTAATTGTGAAGGTTATTGTATTGTAGAGGAAGGTTGAAGCATAGTTGTACACACACCTCTCTCTCTCTCTCTCTCCCTCTCTCTCTCTCCCTCTCTCTCTCTTCCTCTCTCTCCTCTCTCTCTCCCTCTCTCTCTCTTCCCTCTCTCTCCTTCCTCTCTCTCTCCCTCTCTCTACATCCCTCTTCTCTCCTCTCCCCTTCTCTCTCTCCTCCTCCTCCCCCCTCTCTCTCTCCCTTAATCCTCTTCTCCTCTCCCTCTCCTCCCCTTCCTCTCTCTCCCTTCCTCTCTCCCCCTCTCCCCTCTTCCCCCTCCCTCTCTCTCTCCCTCTCTACTCCCTTCCTTCTCTCTCCCTCTTCTCTCTCCCTTCCTCTCTCTCCCTTCCTCTCTCTCTCCCTCTCCCCACTCTCTCCCTTCCTCTCTCTCTTCCTCTCTCCCTTCCTCCTCTCTCCCTTCTCCCCTCTCTCTCTCCTAATCCCTCTCTCTCCTCCCTCTCTCTCCCTTCCTCTCTTCCCTCTCTCCTCTCTCTCCCTCTCCCCTCTCCCTCTATCCCTCTCTCCTCTCTCTC